GGAGCTCCGCCCATGCCCAGGAGCAGATCAAAGAACGCATTTCAAAGAGGTGTGGCTCCGTTTTATGGAAAATTAACTTCTGGGAATTTGTGATGAATGAAGAATTACTGTGCTTTTTGCCAAAGCCTGCATTGACAGGCTAAGTGATGAAAAGACTCCTTTTTTTCCTCCCCCGGGTCCTGGTTTCCTCCCGCTTGGGTAGGGGGCTGGAGTACCCACAGGATTGGAGGTGGGCGCGAAGCCGTCGTTAATTCTCCCCAGAGACCCCCGGAGCCCCGCGCGCACAGCGTGACTCAGTGGCGCCCTTCACGGAGCTAATTTGATGGGTGACGTGGACAATTAGACTTGTGAACTTGACATCCACATCGATTCCAATGGCCAGGAAGGAAGCGAGAAAATCTATTTCTGAAACCCTACCATCGATGACGGGAGAAATTGGTTCTGTTTGGGGGGAGAGGTGCGACCCCATGAAATCAACACTAAATACGGTCCCACACCGAGCTCCCCCAGCTGCCCACTCGCTCGTGTATTTTCCCTGGAACTTGAGGCTGGGCCGGTGGGTGAGAGCCACTCTTTCTCCCCCGAGTCACGTGCAGACCTGCAGCCAGGCCTGGGGGACACGGCAGGCTTCTCTTTGATTGAACTTGAAACCAAACCTTCATGTTCTTGAGCCTAAATGTACCTGGTGTGCCTCCAACACCTCTCCCTCCTTCACCCTCTGGGCCCCTCCCCTCTGCAGAAAACAAAAAGAAAAAAGAGAATTTCTCTCTCCAACAAACTTCAGCTCAAAGAAAGAATCAGAGTCATGGCTACCGTGTGTGCCTCTCTTAGGTGTTTGCAGGAACCTCACGGCTCCTGAGAAGGCTGGGCTGGCCCCCCTCCCAATCCCAGGAGGGCAGGGGCTCCCTCTGGGCCTCCCCATTACCCTCCCTGCCTCCCGCTCTTAAGCTCTGTTCGGCTGAGAAAAGAGATTGGTGCCGGAGTTGCCAGCGGACCGGGTTTCAAACCCGGGTTTCTGGTCGTCATTACCTGCTCAGTCTCAGGGTCTTCAAGCCTCAGTGTGCCCATCTCTGAAATGGGCCTGCAACCCCAAGTCTTGCCAGGAGAGGCCGGAGCAGACAGATGCCTCTACTCTGGGGCCAGGCTGGACTCGGGAGCCACGGGAGCAGAATAGGAGCCTCCCCCGCCCCCCCCCGCCCCCCCGCTTATCTGTGTACCCCTAACCCAGGATGTGGGTGCAGTGTTCCCTGCCCACTCACTGTCTGGGCTATTTCAGTTCCCCCCTCTAACCAAGCCACCCCAGCACAGGAGCAGTCCCTGTGGGAAGAGCTGCACCTCAGGAAGGGCCAGGGGGCCTGAGTCCTCCCTGGAAGGGAGGATGGAGATCGCAGGGTGTTTGGTGGGAGGGAGGGGGGAGAGGAAACAAATACTCCGGTGGGACCTCTCTGGGCCTTAGTTTCCCTGACCGTGCCCTGTCCCACTAGGACAGGACCGATGGGGGTGTGGAGACCTCTAAAACCAAGCCTCAGGTTTGGAGATTCTCAACTGGGTGGGGGTGCAGAGAAGGATGGGAGTGCGTGTCCCCCCCCCCCCCCCCCCCGCCCCCGCGGCCTGCCCTGCTGTGCACACCCAGGACTGGCTGGCCTGAGCCCTCCAGCTGGGCCCTGCTGCTGGGCTTCCCTGAGCAGCTTCCTGTCCGTAATCAGGGCCGAGGGGGTCTGGCGTGGGCTGGGGTGCTGTTCGTGTTTGGAGAAGGACTGCAGATAGCAGGCGGGAGATAACGTTCCTCTGGTTCCCTCGGAAAACTCTCACCCACCACCAGCTCCCTTGGGGTCCCCGTGGGTGGCCTCTGGCCTCTGGGCGGAAGGAGCCGAGGACATTTTCTGGCGGCTGTGGGTGGGGCTGGGCCCGCGGAAGCCCAATCCAGCCCCGCCCTTGGCAGAGTGAGTCCCTGCTACCTGTGCAGACCACCTGCCCAGCTCTGCCTCTTCTGGGGTCCCAGAGGTTTGTGCTTTGGCGCAGGGAGGAAAGGAGGGGAGGGGAGGGGAGGGAAGAGAAAAGTGGGGAGGGGACAGCACAGATAGAGCAGCATCTGTCTGTCCTGACTCCCCCAGCCCTGCGCTCCCCAGCCCCCAGGGTCTGCTGGCAAACAGCAGACAGTGCCACTGCTCCCCAAGGGACCCCACTGGCATTTCCATGCTTTCTGTGCCGCCTTGAAGCCGTGACAATCAGGAACCTCTCCTCCCCGCCGCTGCCCAGCTACCCCTTCTCTTGTCTGCTCGCTGAAAAGAAAGCTCTGGGCTCCTGCATTTACAAACGCCTTATTGACACCAGAGCAAAGCCACAGAGAGCTGCAGGCTGGGGTCCTGCGGGCGGAGGCCCCCTCCCCGCGGCAGCCCTGCGGGGGCTCCGGGAGAGGCCCAGAGAGCCCTGCCCCTCCTCCCGCTCCCTGCAGCCGCCTGGGCCCAGGCGGCGGGTGGCAGCTGCTGGAAGAAGGGCCGGGAGGGGCCAGGCCTTGTAAGTACAGTGGTTTTCTACTCCCGAAAACTCCAGTTCCCTTTGGGGACCACGGCGGCACCCCTGTTTAGAGACAAGGACACTGGGCTCTGAGGGGAAGTGACTGGCCCAGGGCCCTCAGCAGGCAGGGGAGGAGCTGGGGTCAGCAAGCAGGTGCCAGCCAGCGGGCCGAGGGGATGCCCTTTCCGGTGGAGCCTGTGATATTTGGACACCCATGCCCGGGCCTCCTTCCTTTTCCAAAACTGGGGAGGGTGGCGTTGAGAAAGAAGGGGTCCTGGTGGGGGTGCCCTGACGGCCCCCAGGGCCCCCCTTGGCGCTCTGCGCAGTCCACGCCACACCTGGTGACTAGATCCGAAAGGGGGTGGGGAGGGCGCGCGCCCGGGGCCTCTGAGCCCCAGGTCCCTCACCAACCTCCCCCACCCTCCCTTCGCTTCTGGCTGAGAACCCAGCCTTCTGGAGCTGCCCGCTGAACCGGGCAGGATAATTTTGGAGGCTGAGGTCAGGGTTCTTGGAGGGAAGAGAGTGTGGAGGGGGGGGGCGGGGTCATTGGGAAGCTTTGGCCATCTCTGTGCAGCGGACTGGCGTCCTTGAGGCCTGAGCCTCCGGCCACGCTCATGGAGCCAGGGGTCTTGGACAAAACATTTTCCTTCCCTGGACTCAGCTTCTTCCTTGGAGAAGGGGCCATGGGAGCTGGGATAACGGAGAGGCAGGGGCAGGCAGTGGGTGCCCCAGTGCCCTCCCCCCTTTCTGGGTCTTCAGCAGAGAACACCAGGGTAAGGCACCTTCCCAAGCCAGGGAGAGCTCCCCTCCAGCCTCTGGAAAGCCGCCGAGAAATGGCCAGTCTCCCCCGCAGCTCAGACTGAGGGTCTCGGGACCCACGGGCCTGGGGGCTCCCCTGGACCTGACTTCCCACCCCCCGGTGCCCAGGTCAGCAAGCATGTTCTCCAGCCTTCCACGGCCTGGGGTCCTGTGGGGATGGCTGCAGGGACAAGGCCCCACCCCAAGGTCCAAAGTGACCCAAATTCCTCCCCCTACTCTTCCCTCCCCCCCTCGCCCCCCTCAGCAATGTGGGGAAGTGGGGGGGGGGGAAAGACAAGGGGGAGGGTTTGACCTGAGGGAGCCCCGCACCTGGGTCGGTATGCAAATGAGCCTATGCAAATGCAGGGGACACAAAGGACCCCCTTGAAGGTCCCACCTCCTACACACCTTCCACCCCCTCCCTCCCTCCCCCACCGCCTCTCCCAAGCCGCCCTGCACCTCCCACATCCCTACAAGGAGAGGGAGGCTGCAGGCAGAGGGTCAGGCTGCAAGGTTCGGAGAAGGAAGGTCTGTGGTAGGGTCCCAGCCCCCAAGCCCCCAAGCCCGTGCCCCCAAAAAGCCTTCTCTGGAGCTCCCCCGCCCAGCTTCCGGGGGCCTGGAGCATGTGCTTGATGCCTTGGTGTGTCTCTGCGTGTGGGAGAAGCGCATACGTGTGAGCTTCTTGCCCACACACGTCCCGGTGGGGGAGCAGAGACGGGTGTGAGTGGTGTGTGTTGGGTGGCTGTGTGAGTGAGTGTGTGGAGGTGATTGTGCAACCAAGAGCCAGTGGATGGTAAGTCCTGGGGACCGGGCGGTGTGGGTGTGTGTGTGTGGACACCCGTGTGGCTGCGCCCCTGGGTGAAATCTGCTTGGTCACCACCCAGGCCCAGGCCCAGGCCCTGGCTGCGTGTGTGCGTGCAGGTGTGTGTGGGGCCGGAGGCCATCAGGTAACGGGCTGGATGGACATGTGCCGGCGTCAGCATGTGGACGAGGGGGCTCGCATGTTCAGGGACAGCACGTGGCTCTGAACGTGCCTCCCTCCGTGCGGATGGATGGCTGGGCCCAGGGTTTCATAACCGTGTGAGCGCGCAGGCCTCGCTGCGTGCCCAGGACGGGCCTGTGACACCGCCGGCCCTCCCCACAGCGGGCAGCGGCGTGTGCGGGAGTAGGCTGTGTCCGGGTGGCCGGGAGTGTGTCTGCCTTTCCCCCCGCGTCTCCGTGGCCGGGGGTCTCGGGGGTTTTTCTGGGTGAGCAGTCCCTCCTTTGGAGGGTGCGTGTGTTTTTCTGGGCGAGCGAGCCCTGGCCTGCGTGCCCGGGACCTTGGCGAGGGCAGGGTTTTGGGGATAGGGGGCGGGTGTCCGGGTGCGAGCGCGCCTTCGCGCTGTCCCGGGGGCTGCGGGCCGACCCCCGTCCCCCGGCTCCCGGGACTTGGGCCGAGCCGGCGGGGCGCGCCCCTGTGCCGTCCCGCGCGGGGAACGCGTGCTCCACGCGCGCGGGGTACCTGTGCCCGTCTAGCCACGAGTGCGCCTCGTGCGCGAGCCGGTTTCCGGGACGCCGCGGAGGTGGGGGGCCCGGGCGGGGCGGGGGGTCACCGGGACTGGCCGGCGCCGGCCCCGTGCGCGCGGAGGGGGGCGGGGGCGGGGGGCGGGGGCCGCGGGGGGGAGGGGGGCGACGGTACGAAAAGGGCGGCGCGCGCGGCGGCGGCGGCAGCTCGGCGGCGGCGGCGGCGGCATTGGCGAGCGCAGCGCGGAGCCGGGCGCAGCCCTGGCTTTCCCCTCCCAGCGCTCCCGCGCCCCCTTTCGCATCCGCAACCAGAAACCCAGCGCGGCCCCCGCGCCCGGACCCGCGCCCGCGCCGATCCCGGGACCGCGACCCCGGCTGCCCCGCGACGATGACCATGACCGCGACCCGAGCCCTCCTGCGCGTCCTGCTGCTCCTGCTGGCCTTCGGCCACCATGCCCATGGTGAGTGCCCCGGCGGCCCGGCTCGCGCCCCCTCTGGGGAGCCTGCGATGCCCCCGGCCGCCCGGCCCCCCGCGCGCGCCCCGTCCCATGCGCCCCATTCCCGCCCGTCCCGCCTCGCCTAACCCTAAGCCCCCGCGCGGTCCCCGCCGCGCCCTCTCCGCGCCCCTGCATGCCGAACCCGGCCCTGGGGGTCCCGGGGGGCGGACACAGGGGAGGTGTGGGACCCCGGCCCCTGCCCGCCTCGCAAAAGTGGTGCCCGGAGGGGTGTCGGGGCGCAGACAAGGGGTAGGAGGAACGAGGGGATGCTGGAGACCCCCGTGAAAAGGCAACTTTGGGGGGGTCTTTGTGTGCGCATTGGGGTACAGGTCTCTTGGGTGCAACGGGGGGCGACTTGGCCACCTTAGTCCCCCAATTCCCGGCCAGGAGCCCAGCCTGGGCCCTGCTGCGTGCTTTCTAAAGGTGAGGGGCTGCAGCCGCCATCCCTCTCTGCCAGCCCCGGCGGGGACCCCCCGCGGGGCCCCCCGCCCACTGCACCAGGGGCTGTGGCCGAGGGGGCTGTCTGCAGAGCCGGGGTGCAGGCTGACGGACATGCACACAGTAGGCGCCCAGGAAGACGTCAGCCTCTTTAAATAGGGTCAGGATTGCAGGCAGCTCCCTCTGCAAAGCTGTGGCGCAGTTGTTTTTTCGATGCAGGGGGAGTGGGGGGGGGGGCACCCCGACTTGGGGGCCTGGCTTCACTGGGATGAACCTTCAAAACATAATCCAGATGCCTTACCTGTGAGCTGCCAGGTGAACCCGCCTGGCTTTCCCCAGAGACGAAGACCTCAACATCTGCCCCCCCCCCCCCATTGAGCCCCCTTAGCCAGCCTGAGTGCCCAGGGGTCAGAACCTGCCCGCCCACTGCCCCCACCCCCAGTTTTGCAGCCTGAGGTCTCACACTGTTTGGAGGGAAAGGAGATGTCTGACCTGCTGGTGAGAATAAAGCAAACGTGCTGTGGTCACTCCATACGCAGGGACAGGGCAGAGAGCCTTTCCTGAGTGGGTTGACATGAGTGCCTACTGTGTGGCAGGCCAGTAGGGCCTCAGGGGGGGCGTGCTCCCTGGCTTGGGCCTCTGGGGCCTGGTGAGATGAACGGTGTAACCTCTCTTGTGCCTCAGGAGCTGAATGCTTCCCGCCCTGCAACCGCCACTATGGAGTGTGCACCGAGGACAATGTCTGCAGGTAAAGGAGGGCCCCCCGAAGCATCTTGTGGGGGGCTAGGGCAGAATCCTGGGGAGCCACAGTGTCAGACAGAAAAACAAAAAAAAAGGGGGTAGGGGGCTTGGACACTGGGCTGCAAAACAAAAACCAGCTTGGTCACCATCACCCCCGCAGGAGGCTGGTGAGGGATGACGCAGGAACTGGGGGGGCGGAAGGGGGGCAGCAGGAGGTGGGGCCCAGTCACAGCTCCCCATGATGACACGCCTCTGCGGGCCACTGCAGCAGAACGCATCACGAGGCCCAGTCCCGGCCTCCCAGCCCCCCCCCCCCCTGTCTGCTCCTCAGACTGCCCCCCTCTGTGTGAGCGTTTCCATCCAGGTGAATGGCTTTTGCTTTCGGGGACCCCTGGCCTGGCACTGTGCAAAGACCCCCCTCAGGCCCTGGTACGCAGAAAGCAGCCCCGCTCCCCTGTCACCCCCTGCCCACCCTCACACGGACTCTCCCCGCCCCTGCAGGTGCCACCCCGGCTGGCAGGGACCCCAGTGCAACGAGTGCATGCCCTTTCCCGGCTGTGTCCACGGATTCTGCGACGAGCCCTGGCAGTGCACTTGCAACGAGGGCTGGGACGGGCACTACTGCGACATAGGTGGGCACATCCCCCTCTCCCCCCACCCCACCCGCCCTCCACCTCCCGCCTCGTCCTAATGTCCCTGGTGCTCTGTATGGCGATGGCCTGTTTGCACACTTCCCCATGATGGTGGCAGAGCTTCCTCTCCGGCAGGGGCTGTGATTCTGCTCCCCTCTGCACCCTGCACCCAGAGGATGCCCTGGGGTGGGGTGTCGGGGGGCTGCCCGGGGGATAAACCACCACAGGGCAAACATACAGCCCATGGAGCTGCGTGGGTGGGCACCACGGGCCTGCTCGGTGGCTGAGGCATAGGGAGTAGAAAGACCAGGGTGTGTGTGACGCAGCAAGAAAAACTCCAACAGGTCCGCGCGGGAGACAGGCATGAGGAGCTGGAAGCAAACAAACAACAGGGGAGGGGAGGGGAGAGGAGGGAGGGGACCAGCGCTGAGGGGTGGGCTGCAAGGGCCCATGCCCGGCCCGGGTCGGGGCTGGGGCTGTGACAGAGGAACGAAGGTGGAGGGGGTCCTGGGGAGGGCGGAGAAGAGGTTAAGGGATGGATTGGCGTGATCTGTCGATTGCATTAATTTATGCAATCTCCGTCCTCCATTACCCCGAGCGATGGAGAGCTGGCGGCGTTCTCGGGCTGCACATGCTCCTCTGAGCCCCTTCTCCTTTGGCAAAACCCTCCTGGGAACCTGGGGGGGCAGAGGTCCTTGAGAAAACGCCCGCAGCCTGGGGTTTTCTGTCCCCCGGGGCCCAAGCATTAGCAGAGAATAAGGGGAAACTGAGGCTCAGAGAAGCCGAAGGGTTTGCTCAGGATTCACTCTCACCTGGGCTTTCTCCAGTGCCCTCCCTTAAGGGGAATGAAAGAGCAGCTAGTTTTCAAAATCCAGCATCTCCCCCCGCCATGTCTTGGGTCCTTGAAGCTCTCTCCCTCCCCCCCCCCCCCCCACTGCTATGGCGCAGTTTTATCAGCCGCTGACTCATGCGCAGGCCCGAAGCTCTGCTGCCCTCCCCCCCCCCCCCCCCCGCCCTTGCAGGACCAGAGCATCCCAGAGACGCCACCATCTGGGATCAGGCATTCAGCCTGCAGCCCACCCGGTGGGGTCTCTTAGCCCAGGACCCCCCACGAGGTTTCCAGACCTCGGCCCCCTCCTCACTGGTTGACAAAGGCTCTCGGCTTAGGATGCTGGGTCCCGGGGAAGTGGCCCCCGGGTAACAGGGCCCTCTCCCTTTCCCCCTGTCCCCTTTCCCGCTTTCCCCCGGTCTTTCAGGCTGTCACTGTCACGGTCAGTCAGTCGCAGGCAGTGCAGCTGCCGCCCCTGCCCCTGCCCCTGCCCCTGCCCCTGCGTAGGATGGCTCCCCTCCCCCCGGGCAGCCTGCTCCTGGGGCAGAGGCCGGCTTGGCCTCCTCGGGAGGCTGGCCACAGAGGGGACAGGAGCGGGAGGGTCGTTGCTGCCCTTCAGCCTCCGTGTCAGCTCTCAGGTGACTGAGCCCTGAGCAGAGGATGGGGAGGGAGCCCGCCGAGAAGCTCAGGCCTGGCCGGCGACCCCCTCTCCCCCCCCATGATAAATCTCTTTATGTTCCCTTGCTCCCAGCTGGGCTCCCAGGGCCGCCTGGTGGGCTCGGGACGGGCCATCCGCGCAGCGGCCAGGCCTTTCTCTATTGATGGCTTGCCATCTCCCCTCCGCCAGGCAGGGAGCGGCCTTTGTCACCGAGGGGGGATCTGTCCATGTGTGCACCCCTCCCCACCATCTGCCTGAACCGCCTCGCGGTGTGTCTGCTGGGTCCCGGCTCTCTGCTGGGTTGGAAATCAAAGCTAACGAGAGGGGGGGAAAAAAAAGAAAAGAAAAAAAAAAGGTCCCTGGGAGAGCCCCCTCCTTTAATAAGTGGAGAAAGTGAGGCACAGAGTGGGGAGGGGGGTGGGCCCTGGCCGGCCCCCTCCCTGGCAGGCGGGCGGGAGGCGGGGGGCCGGGGGGCTGCCCCGTCGGAGAGCCCCTGACCCGGGCCCCTTTGTTCGGCGTCCGGGGCTCGCTGAGCCGGGATAATGAAGTGTGCGTGACGGGAGGTGTCCAGAGGCGGTGGGAAGGCGCCCGTGTGCATGGAAACGCAGGCCGGCGGGAGAGGGCTCCATCGTTCTCATCTCGCTGCCTTCGGAGAGGCAGGCGGCCTTTTCATCTGGGACCAGAGACCACCTGGAGGAGGAGGCAGGGCCCGGCTCAATCGCAGCTCCATCCCCGCTGCCCCTGGGGGTGGGCCGGCTCAGAGGGCCGCTGGCGTTCCTAACGGCTGGGCTGCACCAGTCCCCCCAAGGGGCAGCCACCCCCCGGAAAGAAAAAAAAAGCCCATGAAGAGCTGGGTGTGCAGAGCTGCCCGGAGGAGGCAGGCACGGGGAGCTCGGCCTGCTTTTGGGGAAGAGGGAAGGGATCTGTCAGGAAGGTTGTGAGGCCGGACTTTGGGGTGACTTGGTTCCCCGGAAAAGGGTAGAGGTGATCTGGGCGGAGTGGCAGGGAGCAGCTGTGACTCTCCGTCCTCGTAACCTAACACAAGGACCCTCCTTCAGCTCCCTAAGCTTTTCAGGAATTTTTTGGGGGGTTCCCTGCACCTCTTAACTCAGGACCCCCCTTAGGGACCATAGGCAGTGGCCATGGGCAGAGACATGGAGATAGCCTAGTTGGGGGTCCCTCTCTTGACCAATCGGCAGTGTGTCTTCCTGCCTCTGTCCTGCCCCCCCTCCCTGGCAGAGAGGGGGGCGGGGCCTGACGTTCTCTCCCCTCCCCCAGACATGCGGGCTTGCACCTCGAACCCCTGCGCCAACAACGGCACCTGCACCACCATGCAGAAGGGCCACTACCAGTGCACCTGTGCCCCTGGCTTCTCGGGCGAGAACTGCCAGAAGAAGGACGGGCCCTGCGAGGTCAACGGGTAATTGTCCCTCCCGCTGCCTGGGTCCTGAGTCCCTCCCCGCATCACCCCTAAAGCCCCTGTCAGCCCGTGCCAGTGAGGCCTGGTGCCTGACAAAGGGCCAGCCAGGCTGCCACCCTCCATCAGAGGAAGTGTCATTTCCATAATTTCTTCAGATGATCCCGAAGGCCATCACGTCCTATTCCCCTGCCCTCCCCGGGTCCCTGAGTCCCCCCGTGTGAATGACAGTAGATTGGGACGGAGCTCAGAGCTGCATAATTTTCTAAAGGCGATTGGGGTGAGGGGCGAGGGGAGGGGGAGGTCAGAGTCTCCCAGGGCCCAGGCTGCTTTTGTGAGACGCACACACCCACTTCAGGCAGCTCTGCAGGCGGGTTTGCTGGGTGTCCCTCCCTGCGCAGGGTTCCCCACAGCGCCCCCTCTGGCCCTCAGGTGCACAGCTGCACGGAGGGGCCTCAGAGGGAGGCCAGGAGAGCTCTCCACCGAAGCAAGAATCCCGCCTGGGACCCCTAGCCCCCGCCCTGGCATTGCAGGGTGGCGTGGAGGCCGCGGGGCTGGCTGGTGCCACACGCAGGCAGAGGGGAGGTGTGGAAAGCCCTGCACTCCCGGGGCAGGGGCGGCATCGCACACCGGGCCTGCTTACCAGCGAGAAGGGAACGTTCGAGCAAGCTCTCTAAAATACTTTGCTCTTCTCCCTCACAAAACCCAGCCCGGGGCCCTTGACATTCCTTCAGAGCCCTGCTCCTCGGCAGCCCTCCTCACTCTCCGCGCCCACCGCCCCTTTCTTCCCCGGAGTTTGGGCATTTATCAGCTGACAAAGGGCCTGCTCGTTTAGAAGCACTTACGCTAAATGCTCCGCGCGCTGCGCTCGGAGCAAACAGCCTCGGTCTGCGGGCTGCACTTGGGTGAATGAGCCGCTATTAACCGGCGCGGGGACCGCAGACAGCCCGCGTATTTCTTTCACTCGCAGAGTCCCCGAGGGCTTCTGCACAATGAGCTGCCGGCTCGCTCCACTGAGAATAAAAGCAAAAATAATAATGGGGTGGTGGGCGGTGGGGGCGGGGGAGACGGTCAGGGACGCCCTGTGTGGCTCGGCCTCGGGGGGCCCAGGGACCGAGCTAGAGAGAAGAGGGGACTCCCTCCAGCCCTGCACTATCAGTAGCTTTGCTTCTCTCAGCCTCAGTTTCCCCCACCAGCCCAGGGACTACCTGGCAGGCCTCTGGGAGGAGATGGGCGAAGGGGTGAGAGGTCGGGCGTGCTCCGGGTTGGGGTGAGGGGCACACCCCGCATGGGTGTGCAGCTGCCTCAGACAATAGAGGTCCTCATAGGCAGGGGTCCCGGTGCCCGCCGCCCCCCTCAGCTCCCCTGGGTGGCATCACCCACTCCCATCATGTGTGCTGAGCCCCGGTCATAGCCCACCTCCCCCCACAAGGGACCGTCGCCCTGTCCCCTTCTGTCTTGCAGATCCCCCTGCCAGCATGGCGGCTCCTGCGTGGACGATGACGGCCAGGCCTCGTACGCCTCCTGCGTGTGCCCGCCGGGCTTCTCGGGCAACTTCTGCGAGATCGTGGTCAGCGTCTGTACCTCCAACCCGTGCGAGAACCAAGGCACCTGCACCGACATTGGGGGCGACTTCCGCTGCCGCTGCCCCCCCGGCTTCGTGGACAAGACCTGCAGCCGCGCGGTAACCACCTGCGCCTCCGAGCCCTGCCTGAACGGCGGCACCTGCCTGCAGCACTCTCAGGTGAGGTTCGAGTGTCGGTGCAAGCCCCAGTTCACAGGCCCCCTCTGCGGCAAGAAGCGCGCGTCCAGCTCCCAGCAAGGGCCCGGGCTGGCCTACCGCGTGACCCCCGGGGTGCACGAGCTGCCGGTGGGGCAGCCCGAGCACCACATCCTCAAGGTGGCCATGCGCGAGGTCAAAAAGGACACCCCGCTCCTCTCCGAGGGCCAGGCCATCTGCTTCACCATCCTGGGCGTGCTGACCGGCCTGGTGGTGCTGGGCACCGTGTGCGTCGTGTTTCTCAACAAGTGCGAGGCCTGGATCGCCAACCTGCGCTACAACCGCATGCTGAACAAGAAGAAGAAGCTGCTGCTGCGCTACAGCAGCCGGGAGGACATGGCCGTCAACATCATCTTCCCCGACAAGATCGACATGACCACCTTCAAGGAGGCTAGCGACGAGGAGATCTAGAGCAGAGCTAGATCTCCCCAGAGTCCCCCACTGGCCCCGCCCCCCTTCCATCCTCGGGGTGCCCCCACCCCCACCCCGCAGATCTCTCTAGACGCGGTCGGTTTCTAACCTTGGTGGGAGAATCTCGCTAGGCCTGGGGAACGCGCTGCGCTTCGCTGTGTTGTTGTTACCTTGTGTGCTTACTACTGTGTCACCAATGCAATGCGCTCAATGCAATGAAGAAGGTACCCTCCCCCCTCTCCCCCGATGCATGATTAATAAGCATAAGAATAAGAATTTAATCACCTTTAAGACAAGTTAAGATAACGTAGCATGTCGTTCTAAACTTTAGACTTTTTTGGCATAAAATAAAAAAAGACAAAAAAAAAACAAGGCAACTGGAACCGGGGCTCCGTGTGTCGACGTCCCTCCCCCGAGGGGCCTCGGCCGCAGGGTCCTTGCAAACGTATTCTTGACGACCGGCCACTGTGAGCGGGGCTCTCAGGCCCCTTTCGTTCGTTAATTCTCACACGTCACATCCGACTCGCACTCACGTCAACATCGCAGTCCTTAGATCTTTGTGATGGAGTTGAGATTTTTTTTCGTGCAGAGTGCAGCGGCCGTGTGTCAGGCAGAGAGAAAGACCCCGGTTGGCTGCTTGGCGGGGCCGGGACCTCGTCCCAGCCCTGCCATACCCTTTAGCGAGCCCACCATTCCGCCCCTCTTTAGGGAGGGGCTTGACCAACCACCGTGACCACCAAGGTCCTCTCTTGTCTAAAACTCTGAATTAGGAACGATGGGGGATGAACCAAAACAGCTCCCGACCCTCCCCGTCGGGGATCGGATGGAGACTCAGTCTCCTCCCTGGGTCCGCATGTTTTGGTTTGCTCCGATGCCCACGTGACATCTCAGAATCACCCCTAAGTGCAGTTTTTCAAAGTGGGGAGCCTCCTGGCTCCACTTTCCGTTTGGGAACGATTATTGGCCGCTTTCGAGTCCCAATACCATAGCCTTGGGGTTGCCCCTCGGGAAACCCCCCCGCCCAGACCTCCCTTCCCCTCCCGTCCCCTGGTAGATCAGCCATATTTCTGAAAATGTAACTGCAGGTGAACCGCAAGTGCCCCTGGCGAAATCTGAGTAAGCAACACGGCCCTTGTGGGGTGTTTTCCAATTGTGTGGCCCAAGGGGTGCCAGACCTGGCCTACATGGCCACGAAGCTCATTTGTGTTGCCGATTAGTAACGCTCAGATCCTGAAAGACCTAGCCAGTTTCTGAATCATGAACTTGACTTTTTTAAGAAGAGCATCTATTTTTGATGGGGGGTGGGGGGAACCAGAAGGAAATGGGACAGAATTCTGTTAGCTTCACAGCCCTTGGGTACCAGTTAGGACTATTTTGCTTAGGTTATTTGGGCAGGAATCAATTCTCCGAGCTTGGTTGAGTATTAACTGACGTGTTTACCTTGCCCCAAGTCATCATCACCACACCTTCATCATGGTCATTCCGATCACCACATGGTCATTGCTTCAGATCACCGCACGGTCATTCCGATCACCACATGGTCATTCCGATCACCACATGCGTCACCGTCATCACTCAGTCATCAACTTCGTCACCCCCACCCACGAAACCACCGCCGAGTCCCTTGTCATTCCGACCCCAAGCCTGACTGCCACTTCCCTCAAACCCGCTGTCCCGCTCCAGGTCCTCCTCATCCCAGCCCCAAGATGCCACCCTGGTCACCTCGTCCCAGACAGGCGATGCCATCCCAAACTCCCATCACCGTCCCCACCAAACTCCTCCCCATCTTAAACCTGCCCTTCCCCTCCTGCCTCCCCATAGTTCTCCCAACATCCCAAACCCCACCCCTTTACCACTGCCAAGCCCCTCCCACCCCCAGGCTCTGTGGCTCCTCCCCTCCCTCACCCTCATCCCCTGGCTCTCCCACCTCCCTTCTCTGATGACCCTGCCCCCCAGTCCTTCTCCCCACAAGTCATTTGAGTCAACATCTCATTTGAGTGTGTCTTTAAAATCTTAAAAAAAGACAAAAAAAAACAGAACGGTTGGCATGTGCCAGGTGGGTCTGGCACCCACCTGGCCTCTCTCACGTGAGACCTTGATCGAGTCAACTACCGGTTCTGATCCTCAGATTCCCCAAACTTGACATTCTGAGATTGGACATGATCAAATTTCTCTGCTCCGCCTTTTCGGTCTCCAGGCTGTGGAGACCAGCCTTGTCCCCCTGGGGACAAGGAAAAGACCCTTGACCGCCTCCTCATCGGCCCGCCCATCCATCCACCATCCATCCAATCAGGAAGCCTTTTGGAGCACCTGCCAAGTGCAAGGCAACTGCACGTCCCGCGGGACGAGGGGCAGTCTGGGAGGGAAGGGGACAGGCACGTGTCCCCAGGTAGCCAAGCGCAGTGCAGGTCACATGCGGTGGGAGCATTGGAGAGTGCTCAGCAGACGCCTCCCCGAGAGACACGCCATCTCACCTCCCCTGTGACCGCTTGGTCTCTTAGCCAGCACCTGATGCGGCCACCCCGCCCAAATTCCAGTGTGCCCAGCTCACACGCCCCACAAGATCAGAACAGGGTTAGTGGCTCGCCTCGGTCTTCACGCCCCACAGACATGGCGCCCGCCCTCCTGGGTGGGGCCGCCCGTTCTGCTGAGAGCGTCGGGACTTTGGCTGCCCCCCGCACCTCCGTGTGCGTGTGGGGTCGTGTGTAGTTTAGGTAAACTAAAGGGGAAGCTTTTAAGATGCTGTCAGCGACATGACCACCAGTTTGGCCCCAAAATTGAGAGAGGAAGAGGAAGAGGAGTAAGAGGAGGAGGAGGAGGAGGAGGAGGAGGAGGAGGAGTGGTGATCTTGTAACCCCAAAAAACGTGGAAAATGTCAATGGCACTCTTTCTGGCTTTCCCATCTACCCGCCCAGACGTGCAAAAAAGTTGCTTATTAAAAAATAAACAACACCCAAGGGCTTCTCCTGCATCTGTGGTGTGTGTGTGCTTTGTACGCCGGCTCCCTTTCTCCCTTCCCCAGGCCCAGGGGGCCCTGCTCCGGCCCCACCCAGCCCTTCGCACGTGGGGAGGAGGCCAAGGCTAAGGGCGAGCCCACCCCCTCTTCCGGACCACACTCCTTGTGTGTGCAGACGGGAACTTCCTGCCCCGCTCCAGGGCCCTCCCAGGCCTCTTCCCTGCGTCTTGGCCATGTGCGGGTGGTGCGGGTGGTGTGGGTGGTGTGGGTGGTGTGGGTGGAGTGGAGACTTGATGAAGGGGGCTTCCGGGAAGCCCAGAACCCTCCACAGAACCGGGGACCAGCTCGCTCCGGGCCCATGTTCTGTCCAGAACTCTGGGGTGGGCGGTGGGGTCTGAGAGTCCACGCTGGCCCCGCCCTCCAGGACTTAGAGGTGGAATTGTGTCTGGTACTCAGTTGGGAGACTTGCTGCCTTTAAATGGGGGCACAGCCGGTGTATGGGTCCCATTTGTTCCCCTGACTCGGGCCCTACATGTTGGGGGGGGGGGGGACCCACCTCTCTTCCAGCCCCAGGCTGGCTGGGTCAGCTCACTGGAGACGCCCTTTGTAGGTCCCATGGAGGGGGTGACATTGCCTGTGCCCACCCCGGTTCTGCTCTTGCTGACCCCCCACCTCTTGCCCCAGGGTGCAGGAACCTCTGTCTAGGCCCTCGCTCTGCTGGCCCAGAGAGCGTCTCCCAGTGTGTGTGTGTGAGGGGGTCTTCTCTCCACTTCCTGCCATACCTGTTCCTTCCCTGCCAGGTCACTGCACCCCCACCCAGATGCTCAGCCATGTCCCTGATACTCCTCCCTCCCGGGCCCCCACATCCTGCCGGAACCACCCCCTCGGCCCCTTGAGGCGGGGTCTCTTCAATGCCACGGGGCACACAGGGACAAGCAGCAAAAATTATAAGAAAATAAGATGACAATGTTGAGATAAACGTAGAAACCTCTGTGAAAGGAATGGGCTTTCCAGGCAAATGTTAATTACCCAGAATCCTCCCGGGGCCAATAGGATTGAGCATTTGTCTGGGAGGAGCCTCCGTGGGGCCACCTGCCTGCTACCTGACCCGAGTCCCGAACCTTTGACCCTTTGATGGAATGGGGAGGGTTCTGTGGAGGGTTCCCAGGCGAGGTTAAGGATCCTGGAGCAAAGATGGAGACAAGATGAAGGCCTCTTGATTCTTTCTTCAAAGCTGGGAAAGGGAACCCCAACAAAGCTAGCAAAATAGAGTCACTGTCCTCCCTCGTGAAGAAACAAAAATCCTCAATAAAATAACAAATAGAAAGCAGCCAAATATCCTATCTAATAGAGGGAATATGCTAATTGATCCTTACGCCATCACAAAGGTGGTGGTGCCCACAGCCAATAAGGAGGGACTATGCTAATTGACTTCCCTGCCCTCAAAGATGGTGGAGCCCACAGCCAATAAGGAGGGAATATGCTAATTGCCTGCCACACTCTCAAAGATGGCAAGACCCATAGCCAAGATGGTGACACCTAATCCCCTCAGCCCCACTGGGGCAGCAGGCCTGCAGCAAGGCCCGGCTTACCCCCAGGTGGGCTCGGTCGCTCCACGCACCTACCTCCAGATTCCCTCAGACCCCTCAGCCCCGCAGCCACCCAGGGCCAGTGGAGGCTTGCACTGCCAGCAGTAGCAGCAGCAGAGGTGTGATGGGGTGTCCCCTTCCCCTGATTGCCAGGTTGCCTCCCACCCCTGAGGGTTCCCAGACTGTGAGAGTGGGCAAGCTGGGCTGAGGGACCCTCTCCCCTCCAGTGCATGAATTTTCATGCACCAGCCTCTAGTTTTTTTGTTTTTGTTTGTTTGTTTTTTTTAATAAAAACCCTGGTCAAGTAGAGCATTTTATGAGAAAACAAGGTCAATAGAGAGGGGGCCCAGGGAGACCCAGGAGGGATGGAATAGTGGGATCACGGGGGTCACTGCAGCCAGCCAGGGGCCAGGCAGGTGACCTGGGCAAAGGAACCCAGATCCATCCAGCTCCTGGGTCTTGTCTTATCCCATGGGCAGTGGTGGGACAGTGGGGTGACCAGGGTGAAGGGAGAGAATCTCCACCTGGGGCCCTGCCGCTGCAGTCTGGGCAGTGGGGAGGGCTCGAAGGGCCCCAGGGTGTGGAAGGCCCCAGAACGCAGGGTGGGTGGGGTGAGAGAGGGGAATTGTTGCTGGGAAGGGCCCTTGCACGGGGCCCACCGTTCGGAGAGCTGGCTAGGAAAGTACCCAGCAAGCTCCACATGGCGGGAGAGACATGAGCTGCACCTGCAGGGGATGGATGGACAGAAGAGGTTTTCAGGAGGAGAGTGAGGAGGGCGGGGACAGCTGGACAGGGAGTAAAGGGGAAGGTGGGCTTCCAGCACAGGGCA